TGTAAGCGATGGAAATGTTCAACACTATATCCTCTTTATAATAAGTTATTATTTATAATTTGTATTTTATATTATTAATCTCGCCTTGATGATGTCTTCACTTCTATCGTGTGGTCTAACACCTTAGTTTTTTTGTTTAAGTGAATATTCATACTGTTTTACCATTTTATATAGTTTTAATTATTTTGTTCATTGTTTTAAGTATTTTGTACATAGTTTTATTTGTTTTGTAAATTGGTGAAGAACTGTCTAATAAGCTGAACTGTCTAATAATAACAAATAATGTCTGAATAAGAACTGTCTGAACTCTCTAGATAAGCTGTTTTGAACAAAATATCATTTATATACACCATTTCATATTTTTATTTATTGATAACACTTGATTTATTGTTATTGATTTAACACTTTATTTATTGGTAAGCTCATAAAAAGCTATTAAACATAAAAAGAAGGAAGAAAATCTATTGAATAATAGAGGAGAAAAAGGGGCTGAACCATTTTGTGTTTGCCTATTTATGTAATGATGATAACATAACTTACTCATCATCGTCCCCGAATGATGGAGAGGGTGAAAGAGAAGCTAGCTTGGTAGACAGCGAGGTGATCCACCGAGAGATAACACCAGAACTGCAAGTTCGATCCATCAGAATCGGCTTCGAGCCTTCTTCTTCCTCCGTAGCTATTTTGAATAATAAAATAATGTCAATACATAGCATATTGTTATTTTGATATTTAATCAATAATTACCTTCATGCATATTTATATTTTAGGTAAAATTATATTTTATTATATAAATAAAGGCTATATTTTTCACCACATTTATTTTCATGCCATTTTCAAGGCATCTAGTTAATGCTGCTCATTCTATTTAGTCCATAATTGGATTATAATCCAATAAACTAGATGTCTTGAAAATGGCATCGTAGCAGGAATCTATCCACTGTGGAGGAGAAATTAAAATAAATGTTGTGAAAAATGCAGCCTTTATTTATATAGCGTTAATTACCTCTATATACTTTAAAACTCCAACAATTGTTTCAAACATTAAAAATGTACAGTTTATTAAAATTTTTATCTTTTAATTTAACTATATAGGGTATCTCAGTTGCTAATGGCCAAACTCTCGAGGGTGATTGTAGACAAAATTTCCAACAAAAAATTTCATTTGATGCCTTTGCCGATTCTGAACAGAAGTTAAGACCAATTTTGTGTTTGTTTTTTTTAAGGTGGTCATGGTTTTTATTGAATAAGAAGCAATTGCTCAAAAACAAGATTATTAAATTCTAAGTACAACATCGTAAAATAGACAATTTTTTTTTTTTAGAAAACGGTGATTAAAGTTACTAAGGTCAACGATAAAAGGGACTTTCAGGAGGTCTAATACAGCTGTAGTTACTAATATATCTCTGTACTCCTGATTTGTGAAATAATTTAGCATAATGGTAGGCTTTGCATTATTAGACCTCCAGTAAGTTTCTTTTATCATTGATCTTAGGGTACTTATCTAATAGCGGGTAGCGTCCGACTGCTATCTGCCAATGTTTATAACCTTAAGACTGATAAGCTCTTCGTATTCATATTTATTGTATTATATTCATATTATTATATGTTTGTATTCATATTTATTGTATTGTATTGATATTATTGAAATTGTGAACAAAAACAGAAACAAATGTAATAATAACAAAATGCTTTTATTTTACAACGTATATATTAAAATAGACCAAAACATTATAAATATATAATTAAAAAACAATACGAAAACATTGCAACGTATATATAAAAATAAATGAAATAATAAAAATAGACCAAAAAAGATGAAATAATAAAAAAACTACTTAAACAGCATATGTACATATAAAACAAACATTATGAAGAAACGATAAAAACAAAATATGAAAAATTTTCTTTTGGTAGGGAAAATAATCTTCATTGCTCTTTGCCCCACTGTATTGTAGTTAAATTATGGGACCAACCATAAATGAATTTTAAAGCTGTTAAAAAAGAAATCCTCGACCCTTCTAACCACGTTCCTTTCCTTATAGAAACGGTTATGTTACACCTACGAAAGCATCTCCATTTAATCTTCCCGTCGAACTTCATTTTATGACCCTCATCACAATATTTCACCTTATCAAATATACCGGCGTTTTGAAAATATTTGATAGCCTCTTCTTCTGAAGACGGCAATTCCCACAATGTGGCAAGATCCATAATTAAATAAACTCACAGCTGGCACAAGAAACAAAAACTAAACAAGAGAATAACTTAGATTAGATGAGATAAGGGAGGTTATCTGAAATGAGATTAGATAAGAAGGGAGGTTTTGACGCTACCCGCTACTGGATAAGTACCGACCTTAGTAAATTTAATCTTTATTTTCTCAAAGAAAATTTTGTCTACTTTACGATGGTGTACTTAGAATTTAATAATCTTGTTTTTGAGCAATTCCTTCTTATTCAATAAAAAAATATGACCACCTCAAGAAAATCACAAAATTGGTCTTAACTCCTTTTCCGTTCGGAATTTTCCCATGTATTACATGAACTTTTGTTGGCAACACTGTCTAGAATCACTCCCTAGAGTTTGGCCATTAAGGACTGGGACACTCTGTATATCAAATAAAGTTTTCTAAGACAAGGATTGTTAATCAATTTTTTTTTTAGTATTGGATTAACTCCAATTTATTGCCAAGTATATATATATATATATATATATATATATATATATATATATATATATATATATATAATTAAATATATATAATTATATATATATAATATATATATATACTTGGCAATAAATTTGAGTTAATATATATATATACTTGACAATAAATTTGAGTTAATATATATATACTTGGCAATAAATTGGAGTTAATCCAATACTAAAAAAAAAATTGATTAACAATCCTTGTCTTAGAAAACTTTACTTATATATGTACATGTATATATGTATATGTACACTGACAGGCACAAAATTCCACCCACTTGTTACCCATTAAGGAACCACGTTGGAAAGGTTGGCTCTGGGAAAAATTACAGGCTGCATATCTTTCGCTTCTTCTTCTCCACACTCTTTCTGGGTGTCTGGAGTCTGGAAATCAAAGAGCGAATCTTGACTCATCTGTAAAAAGTACAGCACTCCATTCATCCATAGTTCAATGGCTGTGTTCTTGAGCAAAAGCCAGCCGTGTTACTCTGTGAGTTCTGGTCAACTCTGGTCCTCTTACTGGACGAAAAGGCCATTAATCCATACTCATTTAATCTTCTCCGAGCAGTACGTTCAGAAATTTGCACACTTCGAACTTCTTCGAGCTGATGAATCGCTTGAACAATGGTAAGGTGCCGGTTTCATAAAATTCTCAAAGTCAAAAACCGGTCATCCCGTGGTTCTGTTACCTTAGGCCGTCCAGAACCGGGCCTTCTATTGTAAGAACCAGTTTCCCGAAAACGCCTGACGGAGTCTCGTAAAGTTTCATATGGAACTCCGATGGCATTAGCTGCATATCTAATGGAACGTCCATCATCAAAAAGTGCCATACCACGCGCAACATCCTCACCACTAAGAGACATTTTTAAACTTAATATTGAAAAAATTAAAAGCCGGAGACTAAGGATTGCTGCAAGAAACGGCACTGAACTAATGATACTGAATAAACATTTTGATTCCATAGAAAGTAGAACGTAAACATTGAAATCTAGAATCATTTCATTAAATTAAGGATTAAGGATTATTGTCCTCTATATTAACATTCCTAATTGAAAACAAACAAAAAGATTACCTATTTATTCATTAAAAACAATAGACCAATCCGAAGCAGAAATATTTTTAGATGTAAACATGAAAAAATCAAGTGGGTGGAATTTTTTGCTTGTCAGTGTATATAAAATAATTGGTATCGGTCACATTAAACTCTTAGATTTAAAAAAAATAAAAAAACTACACCAGTAAATGAGAAAAAAAGAATAATTATAGAATCCTATGTGACAATTGTAAATTATAATGTATTTTTGTGATATTTATGTATGTAAAAAAATTTTAGATGAATATGATGCAGAGCGAAAGCTCCGAGAACCGATGGAAATAAATTAGACTCTAAAAAAAATGTAAAGAATAATTATGAGAAGAATAGTTGGGATGACCAGTCAAAAAAGAAGGCAAAATAAATGATAATATTTATTTTGTCATTTGCCGACATTTCGACCTGAAGTTCAGGCCATCATCAGGGCTAAGAAAAGAACCAGATAACAAGGTATGAGAAACATAAAAATTAAAGTAAAATGCAGTTGTTAGAATAATGACAATAGTAAGAGCAAGAGACAAATAATAATAACATGTACAAAGTGTCTGTATCTAAATATTCTATTCACAATATCTTAATTTTATTATTTATTTCCATTTCTTATATAACTTCATATATTTCTGTTTTACATTTTATTATAAGATTCCCTTTACAATACTTATGTCACCTTTTGACTATGTTTACTTCATCATTCCACACTTTGTACCTGTTATTATTATTTGTCTCTTGTTCTTACTATTGTCATTATTCTAACAACTGCATTTTATTGTAATTTTTATGTTTCTCATACCTTGTTATCTGGTTCTTTTCTTAGCCCTGATGATGGCCTGAACTTCAGGTCGAAACGTCGGCAAATGACAAAATAAATATTATCATTTATTTTGCCTTCTTATTTGACTGATCACCCCAACTATTCTTCTCCTCATCATTCACGGCAGTCAACTATTTAACCACTATTAAAGAATAATTATATTTATTTAAAAAATAACTTGATTTATTCCTTTGTACTAAAGTGAAGTTATTAGCTCATTTGGCTTGCTGCACCAAAAAAATATTTTATTATAATTTCTTAAATGAGAAACGTTACATTTTTCCAATAGACTAATTGGTCAAAAAAAAAAAGTATTATTTTCAGGTTAATATCAAATCTAAGCATCTTAAAATTATAAAAAATAAAATTTCTAATTAGGTCGATTTAAAACATGATGAAAAACTTACGAGTCTTAGAGTCCAGTTCACCATTTGTTGGGCTGTTTTCGGTAGAAGGCTCGCCCTTCAAACCTTTAGACTTGGCCACGTTCCGTCGTAACTTTCTTTCATAAATTTTGGTTTTATCATATACATCTGACGTTGCTGTGTAGGCTATAAAAACAAAGAGATAATAGTAATAAAAAATTTGTACAATTTGAAAAACGTTAAGTAATCAAGATATCCTACAAAAACTGTTATTTAAAAGCAGAAAATTACATTTTATTGTTTTTTAGACAGTTTTCTCAAAAGACCCTAATTCCTTATCGTTATCACCCAAATCCTAATCATTATTATAAATTTTTCAGGAAATAAAAAAAATTATATTTTCTATCCCAATTGTTATATCAAAAGCAATATGTCTTAAAATTTAAAGTTAAGAATTCTTTGAATATTTAATAGTTGACCGTTGCATTATAAAGGAAGGAGATGGTCCGGGGTTGCGGTCATAAATAGGCTAAATAGCGGTAAAACTATTTTATTGAAAGCCGACGTTTCGACCCGACTTTGCAGGTCTTCATCAGGGAGGTGTGTTCCTCTAGGAGTTTCACTTAGAACTGCATTCTAGTGCACCCGCTGAGCACATCCTTTTATCATGATCAACTATGAGGCACTGAAGGTCAAATTGATAAGGGTGATAGGTAAATTTTAACATAAAACAAATTCCCTTAACTGGTATCAAAACGGAACTACCTGCACTTTAAAAGATTCATGCATGGGTGGAAAGAAGCTGTTGGCCCAATCCACTTCTCCCTATGGCAGGAGTGAAGATATAGTACCAAGAAGGCTGACAGACAGAACAGGAGGAGATGGAGGAAGAAGAAATTAAACAATGAATCAAAGCAGGCTGTGTGCACATAAATTTATCACACTTGCAACTGTGTAATGCAGGCATGTGTAGCAAGTCACTACTGCAAACTCTTGTATTGCCTTAAAGGCAGTGTAGAGAGGAAAATAAAATAAAAATAATAACATGATAGGCTTTGACTCAACAATGACAATGAGTCGTTGCGGGTGAAACAGAAATTTTCAACAATCCATAAATTAAGCCCAAAAACCTATGCTTCTGAACTCCATGAGGATTGTAGGAAGCTTACTTAATATATAATAGATTATTAACTACAAAAAATGATGTGAAGTGTTTGTAGTTAACTCTTCCCTACACTAGGAATATACCTTTTTGAAACTTTTGAAAATAAAAACTACTTTCAGCTTGATAAACCCATTATAGAGACATAATTTATGTTAGTTGTCTTAAGTTTCTATTTATATTTAAAGTAATATCCTTAAGGCTTATTAAATTTTTATAAAAGTAATTGCTACAGAAAATAGGGTGGTAAATGAAAGTTGTTAGATACATTGCACCAGATTTTTATTTTATTTTTTAATATCTTTAGTTACTTGAGTGTAAAGAATATTTCCCAATTACCAGCGTTATTGCTAAAGTACACTGCGCTATAATTAACATATGAATTATATTGAATGAAAGTAAAGATATTATAATATTAATAAATGAAAGTAATACTATACCTTTGACTAGGCCGTTCAAAAAGCCCATCGGCAACAGAGGATCTACGAGAGAGAAGAGGCGTGACGGAGAGGGATCTAATGACATGATGATCGGAACATAGGCTAGGAATAGGCCTTGCGGTTTCCTCACTCCGTATTCAAGACACATCATGGTCAGGGCAATATTGAGGTTTGCACCAGCAGAATCCCCTGAATTTTAACATTTACAATAAATACTGACCGATATTTCAATAATTAGTTTCATCCACAATATATATATATATATATATATATATATATATATTGTAATGTCAACATTACATGGTATATAAATAGTGGCGCGAAAGTGGCAAGAAGATGAACTACAGGAAAGAAGTGGGGGAAGCAAGCTCATGTGACAGAGATTGCGACGGGCCGCCAAGAGGGAAGGTGCTAGCAGCTAAGAGAGAAGATCATGGGCCGTCAAGAGAAGATGTGACAAGCTGTCAAGAGGGAAGCCAGCAAGCTGAGAGAATAGAAGCAGCCACAAAGTTTAGATGGGACAGTAAAGGTTTTTAAATGTATAATTTCTGTATAATGTATGTATCTCGTTTCTTTAATTGTATTTAGTAATTAGTAGATTATAGTTATTAAATGTGAGAGTGTTCAGTTGTCAGAACCCAACTTGAGATTAATGTTATATGTGTAAAATAAATAATATATTGAAAAAGGAAACTCGTTTGTTTTGATTTTTGTTGACGAAGGGAACGTTACAACATATATTCAGTAGCATAAATCCCTCTTCCTGATCTCTCAGGTGCGATGGATACCGATGAATAAGACGTCAAAATAAAGGGAATTTCATAGAGAAGTGATTACAAATTTCTAATGTTAAAACCTTACTACAATTATAATAAAAATCATTAAAAACATTGAATGGTTTCAATATTGTTATTTATGACAGCCTTCGGCAAACTAAAAATCTATAGGAAAGTAAAACAAATAGGCCTTGACTGATTATAATAATATTGAAGAGGAGTTGGTGGTTGGAATGTTCAGTCAGAAGTAACAAATTAGAAATAAATAAATTATATTTATTTATTTATATTTTTTAGGCAAAAATAAATATTATTTATTTATTTTTAATTTGTTACTTGTGACTGAACAACCCTACCAATTCTTCTATATTTCAACGAAAGTAAATTATTAATCCACTATTACGACTACAACAACAAATTGGTATAAGTTCAGTGATAGCTAGGTGTTATGTTATAAACTCTTCTGGGTTTCATGCATCTTCATTTAAAAGGGTATCAAAGTGGTACTTAATCTGTTGCATTGTCAATGTTGGAGTTTTGAAACATCCTACTTTTTTTAAATGACTTTTATTACAATGTAGTATGAATCAAGATGTCTGATTTTGGGATAAGGATTAATCACTCTTCCATGAAATTACCTTTCGTTTGATCTCATTCATCAACCTCCATCATTCCTCAGAGCCCGAAAAAGAAACTTCTGTTCAGAAAGATAATATAATATATATGGCTTAACCTCGATAAGTTGGCATCCTGAGGGAGAAATCGTACAGCACAAAGTTGATATCAACATTTAGATTTATCTATAACTCTCCGCTTTTACTCACAAAATATCAAGAAATACATAGTTACAATAGAGGATTAAAATATTATCTTTCAAAAATCCTTGAATGGTTTGTACAAAACCAACTTTCTAAAAGAACACTCCCTCATCAATCCTCTCCAATCTGGCTTTGACACAGTTCCATAACATCCTCCATACCAAAATACGAACCCTTCTTGCTTGCCACAGTTCAAATTCTTCCTCTCAGATCGGTCACAGTATTTGGCCATTTCAGGTCAACCTTAAAATAAGACACACCCTCTCAGGGTTTATCGCTATGCCCTACTCTGTTTGCCTCCTATATTAATGACCTTCCTCAAAAGTATATAATTTAGTAAACTTTACAATGGAAAATGACAGTTTAATAATTAATAGTCCTACATTACATAATCATTTATAGGTTAAATATTCAGATGTACTTTCAAATCTCTCTAGGCATATATAAGCCTTTCGGTTGACAGAATAACTAACTCCAATTTCAACATTCTTTATTATTCATTTTACAGATTTCTCTAGTGACAAAATTTATACTTTTCTATATTTCAACACTGCAATCACCTACTATGGAATCAACTTATTTACTGTCTATATAGATATAACTTTTCCAACTAGAAATATTACTAAAATGACATTAGCCAAAAATGTTGAAATTGAAGTTAGTCATTCTGTCAACTGAAAGGCTCAGAGACTGAAGTTATGTGGTTTATAAAACTAGATTTTTATTGCCAACCGTTGATATAATAAATAACTTTTTGTAATTTTAATGGTCATAATGATTTGTTATCATTAGCTTTAGTTCCGTTTAAAATGCACTTCAAAAATTTTATAATAGCCCTACATTGACAGAAAATAATTTCTATTCAAAGTAGAGGTGTAAGAGAAAGTTGTGTGTTGCACGTACCAGATTTTTTGTTGTTACTCTGAGGCTCTAAAACCTATTATTTTACTCTTGTATATTATTCAAAAGGCACTTGTCGTGGAATAAATAAAGAGTTTATTATTAATTATGTGTATTTATTTTTAAGTGATATTGGAGGATTAGAATAGAGGAATTGTTAGTTTCAACTTAATCCCACATGAGTTCAACTAAACATAGTGAAGCTCTAGTATAGTACATGTTGTTTACCTGCAAAGACTATCTTCTCGGCAGTCGTTCCCAGAAGAGACGAGTTGGAAAGGGCCCAACAATAGGCATAGAAGATCTCTTCGAGTGCCCTGGGGTAGGGAGCCTCTGGAGCTAAGGAATAGTCGACCGAGAGCACGGGGATGTCGAGGTCGATCGCCCATTGCCTCAGGTAGTTCTCGTGTGAGCGGCTGCTCTGGGAGACGAAGCCTCCGCCGTGGCAGTGGAAGAGCAGCGAATCGGAAGGGTACTTGAAGCCACTTTTCGAACTGGACTCGGTCTCCTGAGAAGGGAATAAAAAATAATACTGACAAAGAGGTGTAAAAACAATTTAAAACGCTGCAAATTATTACACAATGGTTTATTATTTCTAAATAGTTATGTATCATATGTAACATAAATTTCCTCGTCACTTAGAGGACAATAAATTCCTTGTATTAGCCTAAATTTTTTTTTTTCATAATTTGTAATTTACTAAAAAATAAAAATAACAATCTCAATTGCTTCAATTGACGCAAGACTTTCCAACAATAAAAAAAAAAAAGAATATAAGCTGTGCATCAGGACGTGTAGAAAATATTTAGAAAGACATATCTTTAAACCAAATTGCCTGATTTCAATGGCATCCTTTAAAGGGACAACTCCAACATCCTCTCATTCCGTATACGATCACTCCTAGTTCAGCCCGCCACATTCCGAAGTTATCTCATTTCCATTGCAGTAACTAGGCTTAGCTGCTTAGCTAGTGGAACCCAACTTTCACTTCCATAAAGGAGGGTAGGCAGATATATATAGCCTTGGAGATATGTACTTTAATATTCTTCTCTACCTCCTTCTTCCCTATAAATGTGGTGCAGAAGTGGTAGTATATTGAATTTGTCTTCTTAATATCCTATTGGATATTTCTTAGTTTACCTTTCCTTTCCTGCTGATCACTGTTCCGAGGTAAGTGCATTCGTCTAATATTTCTAGTAGTTCACCTTTGCTAACTATTTCAATGAATTTCTGTTCCCGACATATATGCATTGTTTTGCTTTTCCTGACATTCGAGGTCATTCCCTTTCTTTGAAGCTCTGCTTCCCATTCAGTTATGGCTTGTTGTAATTTCTCTTTAGTATCTGCTATAAGGACAATGTCATCCGCAAATACCATTACCTGTGGCAGAATTGTTCTTATATTCTACTTGCCAATAGCCGTGCAGGCTGTCTTCCGTTTGTACATTTTCAGCATTTCATGTAAATGATGAATAGGAGGGAGCTCATACTATCCACTTGCTTTACTCCTTTCTCAATCGCAAAGGTATCGAACTCTCTTCCATTAATTCTTATTATTCCTTTGGTATCGTGATAGGTAGACTTTATAGCTTATATCAATCCTTGCGGAATGTTTTTCCCGAAAGAGCATTCCACAGTTCTTGTCTAGGGACCGAATCAAAGGCAGCCTTTAGATCTATAAATGCCAAGAAGGTAGTCTTTCCTCATTCTCACGATTTATCAATTTTTGTTCTGAAGGAAAATATACGATCTTGGGTCTGGCGTTGAGGCCTCAAAGTAGCCTGTTCCTCTTCTAAGTCATTCTCCACTAGCTCTTTCAGCTTGTTTTCTAGTATTGAGGTATAGAGCTAGTACACAATGTGGGGATAGACAGATAAGTCTATAGTTCTCGCATTCATTAGCATCGACCTTTTTGTGTATCGGGAGAATAATGTTGTATTCTCATTCCTTAGGGATGAGCTTTTTCAGTAATTAACTTCTAAAAAAGGCACTGCAATGCTTTCAATAGTTCTGTTCCACCACATTTGATGAATTCAGGGACATGGCATCGTCCTCTTCCTTCTGCTTTGCCGAGTCTTAATCTCTCCACTGCTGCTTCCACCTTTTCCTCCCATATCACCTCATCATATTCTCCCTGTATACTTTCTCTGATCATTCTCTCCTCAACATCTCCAGAAAGAACTTCCTTGTAGTGGCGTCTCCACCTTTCTAAAATACCCTGGTTCCCGGTAATCATTCTACCTCCCTCGTCCTTAACATTTTGTATTGGTTTGCTTATTTTTCCCTTCGTTGCCTTAATTTTTTTACAGAAAACTTTGGCATTTTCCTGATAATTATTCTGCAGATTTTGACCAAATATATTATTTGACAAATATTATTCAAAAATCTTTAATATCATCATCATCCCAATTCAATTAAAATTTTTACTGCCAGTACTATAATTCACAGCATTATCTAACTATTGTGCAATATGCGTAGCTTCAGATATATTTCTCTTTGAACTATTCTTCTCATTATGGAATGCTCGGACTTTATCAAAATCAAATTAATGTTTTAATACTTAAGATTGCAGAGCTAATACAGAATTAGGCTCTTTTCTGTTGATATTCCTGCAATCGTGACGATGCTGATACATTCTTCTATGCACAGTTTGTGAAGTTTCACCAACATACATTTTCGACCAAAGCAAGCACCCAATTTCTTATACTACATCAGATTATTACTGAGTTAATATTTTACCTTTATAAATAAGGTGACCAGATGTCCTGCTTTTAGCGATTTTTACGAATCAGTCCTGTGTTATAAAAACAGTCCCGATTTTTGTAAAGAATGCATGACAAGCTAAGGAAAGAGAATATAAGATTTTCAGCGGCCATGTTGCTATTTCGCCAGAATATGAGTTCTTTATTATTTGTGATGATTTTATAATTTAAACATTAATGATAACGAATAATTGTTTAGAACTGATTTTCGAGAGAGAGAGAAAGAAAGTAAATTTTATTCTGGGACATTTAGGCCCCTCAGAATAACTATGAACAATGAAATGACAATTGTCTGACAATTATGAATAATTAAATGACAATTAAAAATAAATTAATTTACAAAGTTGTCTAACCTTAATATTAAAATAAAGGAAAGACGCTGTGGTAAATATATGATCTTGAAGTAGACATATGAATTTAAAGATAAATAATGAAGAGAAGAATAGTTGGGGTGGTCAGTCAAAGAAGAAGGCAAAAATAAATGATAATATTTATTTTTACATATGCTGACGTTTCTACCTGAAGTTCAGGCCTTCATCAGGGCTAAGAAAATAACCAGATAACAAGGTATGAGAAACATAAGTAGTGATGGTAAAAAAAAAAATAAATAAAAAAAAAAAAATAAAAAATAAAAAAAAAATAAATATAAAGTAAAATGAAATTGTTAGAATAATGACTAATAACTAAGAGATAAATAATAATAACCGTTACAAAGTGTGGAATGATGAAGTAGGCATAATCAAAAAGGGTGACATAAGTGTTACAATGGGAATCTTAGAATAAAATGTAAAACATAAAAAGTAAACAAAATGTAAAATGTAAACACTATAGTTCAAACTTCGTCGGATAACCGTTAGAGATGACGCCACCTACACATCTCTTCTCCCTCCCCCTCCCTTGTAACGACTTTTATTCTCCCTGCGACACTTAAGGAGACAGGTAGTACTTCTTTTATTTATTTCTTATTTCAGCTTTCTCAATTTCTTCCCTCCTTCCTTTCATTCCTTTTCTCTGTTTTTAACTCTTTATTATATTATACATTGTCTGTACATCTTGATAGACTTTACAATATCTCCATTTTCTATCTAACTACTCCATTCTCAATGTATTAATTTTACTATTTATTTTCATTTCTTATATAACTTCATATTTCTTTTTTATGTTTTACATTTTATTCTAAGATTCCCATTGTAACACTTATGTCACCCTTTTTGATTATGCCTACTTCATCATTCCACACTTTGTAACGGTTATTATTATTTATCTCTTAGTTCTTAGGCATTATTCTAACAATTTCATTTTACTTTATATTTATTGATTTATTTTTTCTTTTTTTTTCTTTTACCATCACTACTTATGTTTCTCATACCTTATTATCTGGTTATTTTCTTAGCCCTGATGAAGGCCTGAACTTCAGGTCGAAACGTCGGCATATGTAAAAATAAATATTATCATTTATTTTTGCCTTCCTTTTTGACTGACCACCCCAACTATTCTTCTCTTCATTATCCACGACAGTCAACCATTTACCAATTATTAAAGATAAATACATTCTACTGAGTTCACATATTAGGATATGGCGAATAAGCAATATTGATGGCACATACGTAGATATCTGCACGATATCAGTATAATGTAGCTGACATCCTCTAAAGTACAAAATAACTTTATTTTTACATATATTGAGAAGATATACTGAGGAGGTGGAAAATTTGAATGAAAAGATTTTGTGCAACACTAGTTTTTAACAGTCTAGCCCAAAAATGAAAAGTCACACGGAAGTGAAATTGAATATTTAAGGTTTTTATATGCTAGGGATGTTACAGCAACTTTTTCGTTTAAATCGGCTAACCAGAAGTGGCACTTAATATAATGGACTAATCACATTTTTACTATTATCTCGAAAACTGCTCCAACGGTTTTGATTAAATTCATCTCATCAGTGTAAAATTAAGCAGTTTTAAATAAAATTTGGTCATTATTCTGATTGATGTTATCTAACAGGGCTTAAATGGCTAATTTTCAATATTAGCTTCATCTAAAGTACCTTTATTTTTTTTTATTTGAAACAATTGACCATATCATATTAATTTCTAATATGAAGAATGGTTAAATATAAAATATGAAAGAATTTGATAGTTAAATAAATGAGAAATAAGAGATCATAAAGGAGAATAGTTGTAATGGAGGAACCAAAGGAACACGAGCTCGTCCAAAAGATTAGAACAGGCTTCCATACGTAACGCAAACTTAATATAATAAGGACACCGACAATATTATGCGGTATCATAAATATTTTATATTTATAAACACAGCGATATAAAAATCAAAATTAGTATATATAAGGGCACTTAAACAAATAAAAATACAATGAAATATAAATAAATATAGCGTCTATAATTTTTACTTTCACTTCCCCTTTGTCTGAAAATACTTATTTCTGCTGAGAAGAGAGACTTAAGTGAAAGTTGTGTGATGCACGCACCGCACCAGATTTTTATGAATTTTTTTATATTTCGAAATCTTTTGATTAAGAATGCGGGAAATAAATTATTTTAATAAATACTAAAAATGCTTCTTCCACACAGTTTAAGTATGATAAAGCTAGTTGGAATTTCTCCAATTATAGCCTAATTTCTAGTGTTGCCCAAAATCGGTCTTGGTCTTGCACTTTGCCAGACCAAGACCAAGGCCGCCTAACTGATGCAAGACCGAGACCAGTACTGATAAAAAAAATCGATTTTTTG